TCATAAAATGTATCATATTTTTAAAGGGTATCTTTTAGTAAGTTATTGTTTAGTTTTGGTGTGCTTAAATTAATTGTGGAGATTCAATTCTTAATTATTGGTTTTCTATTTAATAGTATTTTTAAAGTAGTATTCTTTTTAATTTCAATTTACAATATGTTTTGTTTTGAGATGTTATTTTGTCTTTTTAGAGTGCAAAGCAGAATTAGATTAGAAAAAGTACAAGAAGAATGCAGCTTTGTCAAGGACACTGAAACAAGAAATACAATGTTTATAATCAGAAAATATCAGAGAGAGCAATACAAATGCAGAAATATAAGTGCTTATATTTTATAGACTATGCAAAACTATGCTATTGACAAGGTACAGCACAAGGATCTATTTAAACTTAAAACAGAAAGTAGCATGAGACAAGAATATGTCTTCTCGCCAGATTTACTCAACCGCTACAGCAACGCTATCCTAAGGGAACCAGGATCAGTAGGCGTAATCTTAACATTATTCAATACAGAGATGACACAATGTTGATGGTTGACACAGAAAAGAAACTACAGGACCACCTAGATAGCGTGTTAGAAGAAAGTGAGAAACAAGGACTAACCATCAACTGCAAAAAGACAGAAAGTATGATTATCTACAAGCGAAAAAGTCCAAGATGGAATTTATGAATTGGTGATATGGATATCAAGCAGGTGCAGAGGATGAAAAATGCAATACCAAAATCTGAACATGCACTGAACTAGTGAAAGAGACATTCCAAAAGCTAATCAAGGTGCTGAGAAATAGAAAATTCCATTAAAAACAAAAGAAAGCATGCTGGATTGCTATTTGGTATCTATCTTTGTTATACACCACTACAATGTGATTTCCAGATGTGAACACTAAGGAAACAAGATACAAATTAAAAAAATTTTGTTTTCTGTGCAGGGGCTCCAAGTCCACAAAGCAAATCCTGCAATAAAATACAATAGCCAATCACTGTGACTGTGTTTGTTGATCTCCAATTCAACCAGAATCCAACAGAGACATTCCACTCAATCAATGGGCACTATCTACACCTGATCCCGTGTCACCACTACTCCAACCTTAAAAACGAATGTGTCTTACCATGAATCAATCCACCACTGTGAACTTGATCAACCAACCCACCTTACCCAACTCCCGGCCCTAACAACAACACCCTTAAACCTAATCACTTTCCTTACCAATGGTAACTAAGGAACTACATATGAACAATTTTTACCACCTTTTAAACAATTACGTACATATTCTGAATTTTGACCAATACATATTGTTGAAATCTTAATCCTTGTTTGTTCCTTTCCTTTACAACCAAAGGTTCATTATAACATCCTCTTATATGGCAGTGAATGTTGAACAATTTCCCCAAGGATGTGGAAAAAACTAGAAGCAATAGAAATATGGTTCCATAGAAGGATACTGAAACAAGGAAGTATTAAAGAAAATGGCAACTTTAAGAAAATGGCAAGAGAAAGAAAATGGCAAGAGAAAGAAAATGGCAAGAGAAAGAAAATGGCAAGAGAAAGAAAACTTCTACTCAAAATCAGGAAGAGACAGCTGAAATCCCTTGGACACATAATGAGGAAGGAGGTCTTGAAAAACTTACTCTTCAGTGGCCTATTAAGAGCAAGACAGAGGAAGGCTTGTGTGATTGGATGACATGACAGGAGGGGTGGGAGTCTTAGGTAAGGAAGAAAAACTATTGAGAACCACATGAGATAGATAGTTGTGAAGGGCCATGATCAATTACCTATGTCCTGAAAAAATGCAGCACATAGAAAAAGACGTTTGTACCTCTGGGTTGTTATACTCACAACGTTTTGGCTGTTATACCCACTGTCTTTGTTCAAGTGCCTGTTGTATTACATCAAATATTTGCATTTTAGATGTAAATTACATTCTAAGCAGTACTTTTTTAACATTAAATTTCAGCTTATATAATTATAAACTCTTTCAAATAGAAAAATGTTAATTTTTTCAATATACTGATAAATAAAGTGTAAAAGTTAATTCTGAGTCGTGTTCTTAAATTAAGTGACAATGCTAACAAAATATTAAATGCATAATTTAATTATTTCCTATCAAGAGATACATCAGTTAACAGCATAAATGCTCTTCAATAAATTATGTTTAAAAATTATACAAAGAAAATAAACATTTCTTTAAACTTCAACTCTCACATTGTTATTCTCACAGCAATGATGAGAAATAAAAAGCTTCTGTCAACATTTCAACTCCTATCTCTTATCCTTAAGAGTCTGTCTTTCTCTGCTTTTAACAATTTGGCTATAAAGGCTTTACAAGCTGACATCAAATAAGTCACAAAGCAAAATTTCTAATTTTTTTGACCACTACAATGCTGACATCATGTTTGTTTCATAATAGGCAAGAAATTTCTTAAATAAAGATTATTAATTTTGAACAAGTTTTTTCTTTCATCTTATTTCTTTTGCTTTTTACAGCAAATCTCAGTTCATCTGACTGTTAAATAAGCAGTGTGGATCAAAAATATAAAATAACAATCTGAAAACTGTGATAAAAATAATAGAAATAAAATGAAAAAAAGACAAAAATGAATGTATTTAGTGACTTTTTTTTTCTCTTTTTCCAGATAGAAAGATTAGATCTTATTTCTATAGGAAAATAAGAAAATTACTCAACTTAAACTTCTTTTTTCCAAGCATGGAGCAGAAAACTGCTTATTGAATAAGACAAAAGTTTAATTATTTACCTTGACAATCAAAACAGACTTCCTCGGCTTTGAAAAATTCAAGATAAAAGTAAAAATAATTTTTTACATGCAAAACAAATATGGAACAAAAAGATCTAATGAAATGGATTTTAAAGATAGTTTTCATTTGAATAATGTTAATACCAATGTGTATCACATATCAGCCTCTCACATTCTCTACCTTTAAACTACAAACGACCAGAAAAACAATATAGCCAACCTAATTTGGTTTGGAATCTAAAGTGATTTAAATGAATGACTATAAATGAGTGTTGAACCAAGGCTTGCAATACAAACAGAAATCTAAAAATTTAGATACTTTTATCCATATAATTAAAATTATTGGCAAAGTACAAATGAGTTCAAAGAAATCAATAGAATCTTTATATTTTTATGTTAAAGATTTTACAATGCATTTATAATATATACACAAGAATATAAATGATTTATTTAATAATGGCTTCAAAATTAATTCCCAAATTTAAATTGGATCCAGATGGTCAAAAGTAATGTATTTTCAAAATGAGACATGTTTTTCCTCTTCTATAAGGAAAAGGAATAGGGATTTCAAAAAGTTAATAGTAAATAATTATGCAAAAGAAATGTGCTCTTCCTAACACATATGCAGCAAATATTTCCTGACATTATGAGTTCCTGTTTCCTTTTTTTATTTATATATTTACTGAATATCCTGAGGAAGTAAAGGATTAGTAGAATGTTTTATCCTCAAATATATAAAGTTGTGGTTTATTAAAAAGTCGATGTTTTTGATGGTACAAAGTTAATTTTCTGCTTCTTCAAAATGAAAGGAAGAAAAGATTTATTCTGAGTTTAAATTTTCCTTCATGTTTGAAATTGACAAACATTTTAGCTACAGAAAACTTTATATTAATTTCAGGTACATTATTCTAAAAATATTGCTGGTAAATACTAATAATTCCATATTTTTGTATTCTTTTCAGTTTTAGTTTTTAAAAAGTTTAAGACTTTGATTTTATTTTAAATCCTGAATTATCACAATCATATTTCCCATTTTCTAAATTAAAAAGTATGTAATTTAATGATGGCCTTCATATTCTCTTTTTTTTGGCCAAATATTTCTCATGATGGAGGATGTGCTTAACTTTCAAGAAAGACTTGGAACAATTGGATGATAAATTCACAAAGTGCCTTTTATGATCATCAACTTCTTAAGAAAAAAAAAAAAAAAAAATGAAAAAAGAAAAAAAGACCACATAAAGTGCCTAAATAGGCAAAGAACTTTTTGGCTTATAATTGAGCTTGGGTACTGCAACTTTAACATTTTCACAAAGTACACAAAAGAAACCAACAGTTCTTTAGATGATAACGTACAGCAAGTAGCCATTTATATTGGCAAGATCAAGCCAAAACTCACATACCCTTCTAATCACTGAATTGAATGATTAACAAAAACCAGTGTTACCATTGTCTGTTAAGGCAATCAAACTGGTGTACAGCATCCTAATCAGGATCTCTATGTTGAACTTAAGAAATATCAGCCTCAAGTGATTTAGCAAAACAAATATTAGCTTCCTACAACAGCACTTGATACTGCTGAGTCAATTGTCAGCAATTTGATGACACATTTCTTGTCCTATCTGCCTAGATTAATGTCAAGTTATGGTGCACACTCTGCATATACTTTGTAGACCATGACATTCACTTCACTGAAACATGTTAGATCTCAGTATTGTTGTATTGTCTCAGGCAAAAGAGAAACATTGTCAACATCTGAATACACACATTTTAAAGCTGCTCTCATTTACTCTTTGATGCTACCTTTCTTCCTCTTAAAAAAGCCATAGTAGAAGAGAAATGATTCTGTAAAAAGAAAGAAGAAACACATGCTGTTTGGTATGACTATATTATTTCTCAAATGCTATGATCTGATCATATTGCAAATCTTTTATCAAAACAAAAAGCTTAGTGTTCCCACTCACAGAAGCATCCTTGTAGTTCCCTTAAACATCCTCTAATTTTTCCAGTTGATTCTAGACTCTGACAGTAAGTGCTTTGATGAAATTTCTCCAAACAATCCAATATATCAAGTCACAAAACCAGCAATCATCACAACAAAATCAATTGTACTGGGCTAATATACATTTTAAAAACTTTCAAATTTATTTTATAAAAAGAATATATTTACAAAAATTCAGTATCAATAAAAATCATCAACAATAGAAATAATCATAATACAGGAGCAAACAAGAAAATAATTGAAACTCACTTCTTTCTTTGGAGGTTGTGAAAGTGATATTGTGCCATCTCCAGTAGGAGTCAGCTGCCCTTTGTTCAAGCCAGTTAAACGTCCAGGTGGCTCAGATATTGTTGTATTATTTAGATTTTTCTGTTAGCATAGAAAAATAAATAAATAATTTTTATCTTTACAGTTATTGACACTTGAATATACATAATTATATAATCTTGCTCATATTTATCAACATCACATGCATATATTTATATATGCATGCACATACACCCTTTATTTCCTCACATGTTTAGATGAAGAATTTAGTTTTAACTAATTTCATTCAGAGAAATTGCCTTTGGTTCTATTGTATCTCAGTATGCATTTTTTTCTTTATCAAAATTTGAATATTTTTGTTTTATAAACTGATGTAATGAATATGCATACACCTGGTTCCCCCTCACAGTAATATGGTTTGGCTGGTGTCAGCCATAAATACAGACTGATGTGGAGGTACATGAACGACACCTATTGTCTACGCCTATTGCCCACCACTACGACAAGGATCAGTCCATTACGATTACCTGCTAGATTGTCCTACCCAGTTACAGTATGAGGCAAATGAAGAAAACAGTAACCAGCGAGTAAATTCAAGCTCTCCCAACTGGTATTTCAACCTTGAGTCGTTCCTTCTTGAGTTCTGTCTCCAAATCACACTAACTGCCCGTTCTTGCCGTCAACCGTGAACGTCCCTCGAAGAACTCAAGAAGGAACGACTCAAGGTTGAAATACCAGTTGGTTTGTTTTGAATTTAAGCTGGTTACTGTTTTCTTCATTCGCCTCAATTTTTATTTCGGCATATTGATTCTTCAAAATGGAAGGCAAATTCTTTGACGTCCGTTTGATTCCAGAATTCAGCGGCGCCCCAACGGATATGCCCATTGTTGAATGGATAGAAAATGTGGAATTGGTCTGCGAACTTTGTGCCATGGACAAGATTGGTTAATTTTGCCTCTCGACTTGAGGTGGTGCCCTTGCTGTGTATAGACAACTCAGTGGAGAGCAGAGGGCAGGACGAAACCTAATTAAACAGCCCTTATGACTGCATACACGACTGACAGATTTAATGCGTTCGAACCAATTTATGGGGACGGCGTCTTTTTTCCAGGGAGTTCTTGAGGGGACGTTCACGGTTGACGGCAAGAACGGGCAGTTAGTGTGATTTGGAGACAGAACTCAAGAAGGAATGACTCAAGGTTGAAATACCAGTTGGGAGAGCTTGAATTTACTCGCTGGTTACTGTTTTCTTCATTCGCCTCACAGTAGTAAACAACCACTTTGCTACGTCAACAAATATATCCCTTTCTGGAACATATCATAAACAAACAAAATTAACTTTAATGAAAACAGAATATTAGTAATGTCAACAAAAAGAAGAAAAAAAACAATGGCTCTATTTTATTGTAAGCAAATGAATCAGTCATAAAGAAGCATCCATAAAAACTATTTAAGTGAATGTAATAAATATATAAGATTAGTAATTTAAAATATAGTTTTACATTTCTTTTTTAATAATTCCTCCTGTAAAACTCAGTATTAAGACAGAATGTTCTATGATTTCTTTTGCTCATTAGAAGGCCACCTCTATATTGTAAATGTCTGATGTCTGTTGGATATATAACTGCCACTTGCCCATCACTATCCATAGAAATACATCCTACGAGGTACACACATTTCTCCCACTAGTATATGGCAAATATTGTTCAGAACATGCATATACTATATCATTTTAACTGTGAAAAAATAAATTTGGATTCTTGAAGCCCTATTATTAAAACAAATCATTCATAGCTGGATAATAACCATATATTAATACAGATGCGTGTGGGTGGTATCACATTCTCTTTTTAAACATTTTTATTAAAATATGTTTAATTAAAAAAAGAACTTTTATACTTTTATAGGAAATGATAGCAATTGAAAATTTTCTTTATTCATATTTAATAAATTTGCAAATGATAAAGTAATCAGGAGGATATGGATAATGTAAGAGCTAGGACTTAATAATAAACACTGCCACAATGATAGTTACTATTTCTTTTTCAAATTTGCCTTAGAAATTAACTTGAAATATCAACCATTTCAGCTTTAATTTCCCTTAACAAAAGACATCTTGTTTTAAAATTCAACAATTTTTGAAGACATAACCTATAAACAAATACAAGATATTGTGAAGTTATTGAGTGAAGGAAATGCAAAATTAGACAATGCTCCTTCTTGTTCCAAACATTGGCCCACCTTGCCAAAAAATGTTTAAAAATATAGTAAATCAATAGAAAGACCTCCATCTTCTCTCAATATTAATCCAATAGAAAACTTATGGTCTATCATTAAAAGATATATGTATATAAAAATGGAAAGAAATATTCAAGCAAATATCTCTGGGAAGTAAAAACTGTTGCATGTTAAAAAACAAAGCAGTAAAAAAGTTAACAATATCAATGTATGAAAGATAGATAACGGTTATAAAATGTCAACAAGCCCATATTGACATGTAAAATAATTTATCCATATTTCTAGAATATTGTGTTAATCAAATATATGATCTACAAATCTCGGATTTATTTAAAAATCAGAATGATCTATAAATCTTGGATTTACTTAAAAAATCTAAAAAGATCTATAAATCTTGGATTTATTTAAAAATCAGAATTGTTATACATTTATTTTGTTTGCATAATATAATCTGACACTCTCAATACAAGTTATTATTATTTTAAATCAGTAAAGATATAATAAGATGAAACTTAATGTTATAGCTCTTCATCATCTTCAATAGAAAATTTATGGTTCATCATTAATATATATATATATATATATATATATATATGAGAATAGAAAAATAATAAAGCAAAGTTCTCTGGGAAGCAATAAAAATTGCAGTAAGAAAATTGAAATTTAAAACAGCAGGAAAATTAAGAAAATCAATGGGAGAAAGATTGATGAAAGTTACAGAATGTCAAAAAAGGTCATATTAATATTTAAAATAATAACTTATTCAGCTTTATAAGATATTGTGTTAATCAAATGTTTCTATAGACAATATCATGGATTTATTTATCAACTGAGTTTATTTGCATAAAATGCCTAGCACTCCCAAATTTTATGTCTGAAATTCTGGGATGAGGAATTATCATTATTGAGTACCAATTTAATGCACAATAATAAAATCTGACAGGATACACATGTAATTATTTTTTTTCAAATAGTGAAACTGATATATAGCAGCCTAGAAATATCAAAAAGTCATATTAAAGAAAATGAACCTCTTAGCAAGGATTGAATCTGCATTCCTGTTTACCTTAGAGAAAATGTCTTTTTCACCAGGTGTGATGGTAGCAACTACAGCAAAGCAAGGCACAATTACTTTAGTATCTGTCTATATTTCTGAGATGAGGTATTATGTACACTATTTATATTATTTGGACTATTGTCCTCATCTTTGTTGCCAGATTTATCACAACATTTCAGTCATTGTACGCTCCAGACTTCTTCAGGGGAATGTTGAACTGAACCCTTTATTTTGCTCGCTGGGGTAGACTGTTATAGAAGAAAACAGCGACTTACCTCATTAAGCCAAACGACAGTGTGTCGCATGTATCCTACAACGGAAAATATAGTGAAAAAGAAAATTACTTACCAAAAAAAAGGGCACATATTCCACATGACATGCTGAAGATGGAATATGCAAATTAAAACAAGTCCGTTGCAGGAGTCACTGTAAAAATTGGGCGTCCTCTCACAGTTGTTGATGAATGAAAAAATGCTTGTCCGATAAAAGCAATTGGTGTTCTTGAATCAAAAAGAAAAAATTTGGGCATTTTGGCTACGGTGTTTGTTGGAGAGTGAGTTATTTTTCTGACTTGTTGTGGACATTGGGATTTGTGAGATAGTAACTGTGAATCAAGTTTTCGGCATTTCTTTCTGGCCCCAATGTTCGAATGTGAACTTAGTGATTTATTCTCTGCGTTGTGGAAGTAATCTGTGACAAATATTTCCATTGAAACCCCAGATCACTTACAACTGTTCTATTCCATGTGCCATGGCTAATGGATGTCAGTTATCAGTCATCTCCTGTTAATTCCTCTCTCCAAGTTCTCTACCACCTTAACCAGGTATTGAACTCTCAACTCTTTGGGTCCTGTCACTGGATCTAACTAATACCTTTATCCACTGTGGCATGTGTCCTACCTGGTTAAGGCAATGGAGAACTTGGAGAGGGGAATTAACAGGAGATAACTGATAACTGACGTCCATTAGACATGGCACATGGAACTAAAACAGTCTACCCCAGTGAGCGAAATAAAGGGTTCAGTTTGACATTCCAACCACCTGAAAAAGGCTGGAGCATACAACGGCCAAAACATTGCGATAAATATGGCAAGAAAGATGAGGACAATAATCCAAATAATGTAAATAGTGCACAGTTACTTGTTTTACGAATTGCACATCTCTCATTGGGACTGTGTCAGCTATGTTGCTGATCATGCCCAAAAAGTAAACAAAGTAATTTTTAATTAATTAATAGATGCTTTTTTTTAATCTAACATTGTTTCTTATTACATTAAATGTTATTTTTAATGGGTAGATGTGCTTGAGTAGAAACCCCCATGTTTTATTTCAAATGGTGAAATTAATAGCTACCAGCCTAGAAAGTAAAAAGACATGCACTTTCTCTCACCAGCTATGGGTAAAATAATAAGGCAGATTTCAGTCTATGTAGAAAACCAAAAGTTGCAGTAACTGAACAAATGAATTCTTTATTTGAGAAGTACATATCAATTAATCTGCCTTACCTTATAGAAAGATGTCATGTCACATCGTTGGTCATCTATTCTATCACACTGCATTCTTTCCAGCATTTCAATCAGGCAATCCCCATTCTGCAAGAGAAAAAATATAACAAAATAATCTACTAAGATAATTACTAAAGTAAAACAAAAAAGAAAGAAAAATGGAAATTATATAATTGTAAAAATTATAAAATTTATATTTGCAAGGAATAAATATTTGTTTAATAAAGTTATTTCTTTATCAAACATTTTAATTACAAATCACATCAATTTCAATGAATTTGAATCAAACACATACTTACTAGTTTGTACCATATAAGGAATTTAAAAAACATCAATATTAAACATTATTTTATCAGTTATAATGTCCATCTTATATATTTCATATTGTTTGTACTAGAGTTAACATGCACATAGACCTAATCTGGGTTTCAAATCTTTAAAATTGATATCACATACTTATATTATTCTCATAACATAGGACTATGTTGCAAATATTAAAACACTAACAAAGTTAACTAAGCAATCATTGATCAAAGGCATCCCCTGATGTTCCATTTCACTGAAAGATTTTTGTAATACTCAAAAGCTGTTTGGGACAGCTTCAGCTATTACACTGTAGAAACACTTCTCTCAGCATTCTTCACAAACAGAGCTCCTAGAACAACCTCCCTCATTTCCAAAAGGTTTCTTTCTGGCATGGAGACTTTTATTCCACACAAAAAATATCAACAAAGACCAAATAGCCAGCCTTGATACACACCTGAATGTGCTGACGCATAGCTCACTGTAACCATTACTAACCTCTTTAGCACTGGGAACAGTGTAGCAGAACTCTTGCCGCAATTAGTACAAGAGTATTCTGGAAAATGCAAAGAACTGCTATGCACAGTCAGATTAAGCCAAAGTTGAAAACAAATGACTTGGTTCCTGCAAGTTCTGGAAAATCCCAAATATGATTCTTAATAGAGGCAAACCATCAGTAAACCTACTATTATAAATGACCTGAGGTTATCTCAATGTTATCAGATAAGGTTAAGCTCTTTGCAATGAAATTTGCCTCTAACTCTACCTGACTTCCTATCACAGAGAGCACAAACTTTGTGATTTCTGTATCTCAGCTCAAGTTTCCAGACTAATTAAAAGCCTTGACACTATAAAGGCTACTGACCTAGATAAAATTCCTGTGATCATTCTTAAAAACCTTAACCCAGAACTACCTCCAATATTGGAAAAGTTTTTTTAACCACAATTGTTTTATCAACAAGAAGGTTGTTGATCACATCAACAGAAACAATCTCTTGAGTGATAAACAGTACAGATTTCTCTCCTCTAAGATTACTGCTGATATTTGCTGATAGACACAGAATCAGCAATCAATTATAAACTCATCATGAGAGCAATCACCTTAGATATTTCAAAGACCTTTGACAAGGTTTAACATAGGAGATTGCTGGTAAAGTTTTCCCAATTATCAAGCCCTTCCTATTGTGTATGCCCATAAAGGTTGTTGTCAGTAGATAGTCTTCTGAAGTCCATGAGATCAATGCAGGTGTCCTCCAAGGCCCTCCCTTTGATCCCATACTCTTTCTGCTTTATATTCACAATATGCCCAGAAACATTTCCAGATCTTTAGTTAATATCTATGTAGATGATACCATAGTTTATGAGTGCACTTCTAAAAATCTAAACGATCAGAACCTGGCAGCTGATCTCTCCTTTGATCTAGCTCTAACAGTTCAATGGGTGAAAAAAACTAGCTTGTAACAGTCAATACCTCCAAAACCAAGCTAGTAATGTTCCATCATCACTGAGCAGAACCTGAATTTTCTCCAGTTATAATTGATGGTTGTAATGTGGCATCTTGACTTGAATGTCAATTGAAGCTCAATTTCTCTCTAGACCTCATACCTCATGCATGGAAATCACATATATGATCTATCATTAAAGATGATGGAAAAATGATCAGTTCCTTGCACCACTCCAGAAAGTACCCAACACTTTCTGCCATGCTCTATCTTTACAAAAGTCAGATCAGAACAAAAATGAAGTATTGGTGCCATATCTGGGCTGCATTTATGCAGACTATGTGGCCAATTAATTATTTTTAAACCTATGGCATCAAAATGTTGCAAGCCTATCACTCCTCTATTGCTATTTCCAAGGTAAATGTTTAGATGAGATACATTTCACTTTTTCAGGCCTTTAGAGATAAGAGACATCAGGCCATGTACAAGGGTTGAATCATTCTCATTCCCTTTATATCACTTTAGTAAGGTGGAACTTCCCCTCAGACAGCTTTTTGGGGAGAGCTATTTTGTGGAACAGATTCTCGATAGAATATCTGAACACTACAATCTTAACCTCTTCAAATTTCATGTCAACCATTATCTATCCTACGTATTCTAATAATCAGCACTTACTTCCTCCTATTACATCCATATAACAACCTTATTCAGTAATCCTCTACCTTGAGTGGGTCTTCTGTTCAACCTGATGGTAAACCTACTAGATGTACTGTTTGTGAATCAACCAGACACTGGGTTAAAAATTGTTGACCTACCTTTGACAAAGGAAATGAGGAAGATGTATTCAAAGCCAATAATGTACTTGTGAATCACAATAACTCTGGGGACAAAGGATTCACAGGACAAACTATTGGTTGCATGATTTTGGACTCAGGTTGTTCCAAGTCAGTATGTGGTTTGATTTGGTATAATTGTTACCTGGATACCTTGCCAGAGAAAGTTAAAAGAAATATGAAAGCAGAGGATAGTAAGGCTACATTTAAATTTGGAGATGGCCAACACTTGACATTGTATTTCAGTTTTAGATTGTATATTTTGGATCTCCTAATTTTCTAACTGATAATGGGTGAGAATTTAATAACAAAGCTTTCAGAGACATGGCTCAGAATTTGAATATTATTGTACAAATTATACCAGCACAAAGTCCATATAGCAATGGATTGAATGAGTGTCACAATGCTATACTTAATGAAATGGTACTCAATACTATGGAAGACACATTTTGCAGCTTGGAATTTGCCCTTGCTTGGTCACTGAGCTCCAAAAATACTTTGTATAATGTCAATGGTCATAGCCCAAATCAATTGGTATTTGGACAAAATCCTTAGGTGTCTTCATTTCTGATAAATAAACCCCCAGCTTTAGAGGGTGTTACATCAAGTGAATCCATAGCTAACAACTTGAATGCTATGCATACAGCAAAAGACGGATTCATGTGAGAAAAATTAGAAGAGCTTTGCATCAAAAGGTGAGACCTATTACAGCTATTAAACAGAGATCTCATATATTTTAAGAGAAATTAATCAAATTGTTGGATGGGACCAAGGACATTTATAGGAACTGAAAACAAACAGATGTTGGTCAAGCATGGAGGAAGCTATGTTAGAATCCATCCATGTCACCTGCAGATATATAAAAATGAGTTTGAAGAATTCAATGCACTAACAACTGATGAGAAATCATCCAACATGGAAAATTTGGAAGATGATTCATAGGTAGACCAAGATAGTCAAAGTACAGATTTTGAAGAGGCTATGGATGGTTCATGATGAAAAAAATGATATCAGTCCTTCTATAAGTGACAAGGCAAAAACTCATAAAATGAGTATCAGTCAGGAACCAAATAAGGCTGGACATCCACCAAAAAAAATCTATGAAGGCAGATATTGTAATTTTACCAAGAATAGGGCAAGAGATAATGTGATATCAGACAATGATCCTTCTTAGAAGGAAATAGAAGTTATCTGGAAAATGCTGGAAAAGCTACAGGCAAAAACAAAAATATTTTAAATGTACATGCTGAAGGGGAAAAGCCCTTTTGGCATGATTTTAGGAAAATGTGGTAGAGTGGAAAGACTATAAAAAAGAAAATCTGCAGGAAGACTCTTGTGAATGTGGCACTTTTAAAAAGGAACTTTTAGATGAGGAAATTAGCTTACTTTCAACAGTCAATGTAGAATATACTAAAGCTAAGAAGTAAGAATTACATAGCTGGGCTGAAAACAAAGTTTATTCTGTTGTATCAAACTCAGGCCAAAATACAATCACAAGAAGATGAATTTGCACTAAAAAAGAGAGAAAAGATAGAATTACAATAAAGGCCAGACTGGTTGCAAAAGGGTTCTAAAATGAAGAATCGGGATATGCTAGAAGTGATACGTATTTCCTCAAAGAATAGCCTACAAATTTTCCTGACCATAATCATCACTTTGAGGTGGATATTTCATTCTATGGATATCAAGACAGAAGCTGAAGTTCCTGAAAGTTATATATGGAAGTTAAATAAATCTATATATGGACTGAATGATGCTTTTTGAGAATGGTGAGAGAAAAGGTAACAGAATTGAGAAACTGCCCATCTAAGTATGACCAAACTGTCTTTACATGATACTATGATAAGATTAATGGAATCATATCAACTCATGTAGATGACTTCTTCTGGGCAGGCACTTAAAAATTTAAAGAAAATGTAATAAAGAAAATCAAGCAAGTCTTTATGACCAAATTAGAGGAAACTTCAAGTTTCAAATATCTTGGTCTTGAGATTTGTCAGCGAAAAGAGTCCATAATAATTAGTCAAAGTGAATGTGTCAAATCAGTCCCTATGATACCTACAAAGACTGACTATAATTCAAACTGAGTTTTGTCAAATGACAAGCTCAAATTATGCAGAAGCTCAATGGGAAAGCTAAATTGGCTATCTACACAGGCACAGACTGATTTAGGTTGAGAGAAAAGTAATGTCACATCATTTTTAAAAAGATAGAAAGGTGGAGAGTATATTAGCTAGAAAATCTCCTCCAGACTGTTAATACCTAACTTTGGCAATCTTGCTAGAATGAAACTTGTAGTATGTAGTGATGCAGCATTGGGGGATCTCCAGTGATATACATTGTCTTTCTTGTGGGTGGCAATGATAGTTATGTTCCTATTTCTTGGCTATCTCATAAAGTCAAGAAAATTTTGAAAAGAACATAAGCAGCAGAGACACTTGCTATGGTTGATACTATGGACGCATTTTTATAGAAAATAACTTCTTGAACTTTTATCTATTGTAGACAA